CGTAACCCCCGCCATTGCAACCCCCCACCCGCCGCAGTTGCAGACCTGCAACCCCCGCCATCCCAACCCCCTTCACCGCAAAGGCGCAGATATCTAATCGGACTTCCCCATCGTAGATCTGGGAAATCGAATTGTCACCTTCGTGCAGATCTAGATCTGGTCTGATCTAGTAGTGGGGGTGACAATCTAACTCCGGTGAAGATACAATCCCATACTGTCATGCTCCTGGGGGGAGAAGGAATAAGAAAAAGAAGGAAGAAGAGAAAAAGATTGAAGAAGAAAGAAAAAGAAGACAGAAGAAAGAAAAAAATCGGAAATAGAAGTAGAGGAAGAAAGAAAAAATGAAGAATGAAAGAAAAAATGAAGAAGAAAGAAGAAATGAAGAAGAAAGAAAAAATGACAGAAGAAAAGAAAGAAAGAAGATGGAGGAAGAAGGGGATAGGATGGACGACATTTGGTTTGGGGGAGGAGTGATGAGGTGGGTTATTGGGATGGAGTTAAGGGTAAATAAGACATTTTACAAATAAAAACTTACCTAAAATAGAAATGGGAAGTTTATTTGTGGACGGACGAAAAAGGAAAGTGGGAAGTTTTTTTATGGACGGAGGGCGTAATTATCATGAAAAAAGAGGCAGTAGCTGAATAATTGTTTTGAGCAACTGCTTGCTCATTGTGATTCCAACCCTTTTCTATTAAGGAATTAAAATGCCAATCAAAGTGCCCAGTTGAGCGGGGGAGGGGGGGCTCTTGAAAACAACCTCTCTATTTCCGAGTAGGGGTAACCACGTAAGGTCCGCATATACACACACTCTCCAATCCCTATTTTTGTGGGATTTTGCTGCGTTTGTTGTTGTTGTTATACCTTTGTGAGTTGGGAATTATGTTTGATTATATATGTACTCCCTCCATCCCAAATTCGATTGCTAGTTTGATTTCTCACGGTCTTCCATGTACCATTATGTGTGTTAATAACTTGTACACAACTAAATATTTCAAAACTATTATTTCAAGTGAATCTAATGCTAATCTGGGTCTGAGGGAGTATCACTCTAGTGAAAGATTTGCTGTTTTTTTCTCCTTTAAAAAAAGATAATCTTACATGCAGGTGATAGACATGCTGCTGTTCAAAGGGTTGGAAGAGCTGAAGAATGTGGTGGAGCATTCAAAACAAAGGCATCACCTAATCGGCCAATACGTCACCGGTGGTCGTCAAGGTTTGGGGGCACAGAATGTGGCAGACCACCACGACGACACCAGCTCTGACTTCCTCAAGAACTTCTACAGGACCAACTACTTTTGATGGTCTCATCTCCTTTTAAAACATCACTCCATCTCAATAAAACAAAGTGAATGTTTTTTTTTCCTTCAAAACCCCCTTGCCTTTTGGATGATCAATCACTTATTTTCCTCTCAAGAAAGAAGGGACCAGCCATCAATGTCGATTGAGGTAAAATCGCTTGTTCTTGGAATCCAAAGTAGTTTATTTCGCACCGAATTTGTGCTTCCGAGCACGCGCCTAAAATTTGTGCCAGTTTTATTTGTGGGAATATACTGAGTTTGTTGTTGTTGTTATTGTTGTTGTTGTTGTTGTTGTTGTAAAAAAGTGACTTAGATACTAGTACATTGCCTGGGGAATGAACCAACCCATTTGATTTGGCTACTTAAAAGAAATGGGTTTTGAATTTTTGTTTTTTAATTTATAAGGTGCTTATAGGTTAAATATTCTTTTGTCGTAGTAAAATGACTTAAATGATAGATAAGTCATTTAAGATTATTTATAAATGATGACGGATAGTTTTGTAGATAATCTGGTCAAAATAAAGAAATAAAAAAATTGATATTAAAATAAATAGGTAAGACCTATTTATTTTTTTGGCTTATAAGTATAAAAAAACATGTTATCAGCTGATTTATAAGTTAAAAATAATTTGTAAGTAATTTTGACCAATTTATAAACACAAAAATACATCAATTTTGAAGAATTATTACGGTTCTCGTCTTGTCCAATTCCATGGAGTTTGACTTTTTTTTGGGTGTAATGATCCTTTTGCTCATCGTTTCTTTAACACTCCCTAATCATAATTACAAAAAAAATCACTGTGCAATCATGGTTACGGGTGACCGTGCAATCAATTAACTTTAGCTTCCACTCAAAAAAGAAAATAACTTTAGCATAAAGGTAAAAAAAATCAAGTCTAAAAAATACCCCATCCGTCCAGAAATAATCTTCCCACTCTACGTTTTTTTTCGTCCAGAAATAATCTTCCCACTCTACGTTTTAATCTCTATTCTTCCTAAAGTACCCTTTCTTTTATCCTCCTTTTCTTCCACTCACCTGACCCTTGTTTTCTTTCTCCAGTGGTCGTCCCCCCTCCCCCTTATCCTCTCTCTCTCTTCCCCCTCCCCTTCTTTCTCTTTTCTCTTCTCCTGGTTTTGTTCTTCTCCTTCTTCTTCGTTTCTTCTTCCACTCCCTTTTATTTTCTCTCTCTCTTCCCCCCTTTCTCTTCGTCTTCTTCTTTCTCATCCTCAACTTTGTTCTTTTTCTTTCCTCCTCCCTCAGATCTATGCCTTTCTCCCCCCCCCCCTTC